TGATACCAGTAAGAAATTTCTAAAAAAAAAAAAAGAGGGTAAATAAATCTGTTTTGTTAATATTTTTGTAAATTTTTCTCAGAATTTCATCCTATCTAATTGCGTTGTTATAAATTTCCAAATTACATTGGATTTATTGCATTTATGGTTTTGTATTTGTTCAGTAGGTTTTAAACTGCTTCAAGTTTATTTAGTATAACTGAAGAAAATACAAATTGTTCAGGAGAAAATCTGAAGTATGCTGGACAAAAATATTAACAAAACAGATTTATTTACCCTCTTTTTTTTTTTTTAGAAATTTCTTACTGGTATCAGCTTTCATAGCTGATGTAATCTGTGGAACTATTCTCCTACCAAAAGGTGAAGGCATGGTCTCTTCTAAGTGAAGTTTTTTCATCTTGGGTTTACCAACTTTGCCTTTTATGGGTTTGCCAGTCATTCCTGCCAGTACATCCTCTCTTTCCTGAGCTTCTACTTTCTAAAATAAGTATGAAAATAAAAATTAGATATAAGCTTCTAAACTCTGTAAAATCTAAACATATAATCTATGTATTCTAATGTATATTAAAATATTACCCATTTTTAAATAATTCATGTAATTATGAGAGTATTTTAAATATAATGTAGCTGTATTATTTCACTACTATTCCCATAAACATTTAGATTAGACAATTACATCAAATTACTTGGCAAATAAAAAATTAAAAGCTCATTAGTGTATATGTGAATAAATATTATTAGATTTTTCAGGTTGCAAAATACAGTGAGAAGTTAAATATGTAGAAAAATTTAGGAACAATTGAGGATCTCGAAACCAGTTTCAATCAATCTAAAACTGTCTGAATACATTCTAAGTCCCACAGACACCAGGAGCCTACTATTTCACTGCAAAATTTGAAAACACAATTCAAAAATGAAATTGCACAAATTCCATTCTCTAATAATGAACTCAGTTATATGAAGATAATTAATTACCACCAAATAATAGCCTAATATAAAAGTTAACCGTATACATGAATTTTAATATAGGTCAGCGTACTTCAAGTTCTTCTACAAAAGCTGCCAAATCTTCTTTCCAAAGGTCAGAAGAAGATTTTTTCTTGAGTTCATTGAGTTCCTTTCCCTACAAGACATAAAAGAATAACAAAATAATTTGTATTAAGAGATGTTTTGAATATTTAATATAAGCCAATATAAGAACATAAATATAACTGTGCTGGATAAGGCCATTGTCCCCCTTAATCCAATGTTTTGTTGCTAACAATGGCCAGAGTCTTGAAGTACTCAGAAGTAGAAAATGGAAATCTATCTACTTCCTTCTAATTGTCCTACAATTGATATTTGGAGGGCAAATTTCCCTCAATTGGGAGGTAACATTAAGACTTCAAAGCAAATAGGATTTGACAGACCTATCCTGGGTAAATTTATCCCAGGCACCTTTTATAATCATTCAGATTAGTGGCTATCACCTTGTTTTGTGGCAATGGTTCCACACAATAATTATGAACCATGTAAAGTTGAGCTTTAATCTTCTACATCAATATTATCAAGGCATGTAAAAATTAGGTACATTTTGTTATATGTTCTTCATAAACAATTAAATTATACATTTTGAGAAATACACATAATTTAAAAATTAACATGTGTAACTTGTAATTTTGAATTTTTTTTCAACCTAAAACAATATTCTCAATACCATATTAGGAAATACTTTCATATTCAAAACTCAGAAAATACCTACTTTTGAATCTCGCTGCTTAATGATTTCCTCAACTTTCTCTTTAGTAAGACACCATAAAGACATATTTAAGATGTAATTGAAATCTGGACCTGAAGTAGATCCTGAAGAAGATGAATTATCATCATTCAGATTTTGCATTTCTTCCTCTTCTGCAGCCTATTTAAAGATAAAATTAGTTAAAATACTAGACACATAAATAAATTGTGAAACATTGTAAAAATTCTAATAAAGATGAAAAATAATTTTTAATATATTAGGTAGGAGATTATCAAAACATGAATCACTTTTTTAAAACAGTAAATATAATAGCAATAGCACTTAAGACTTATATACCACTGCATAATGCTTTACAGACCTATTTAAGCAGTTTACGGTGTCAGCGTATTGCTCCCAACTATCTAGGTTCTCATTTTACCAACCTTGGAAGGTTGGAAGGCTGAGTAAACCTTGAACCAGTGAATCAATCAAACTGCCAAATTGCTGGCAGCCAGCAGTCAAGCAAAGTAGCCTACAATACTGCATTACAACAACTGCGCCATCAAAGCTGTTGCAAAAATGCTCAAATTCAAATTTTCAAAAATACTGGCATGTAGACAGCTCTTCAGAGAAAAGCAAAATTTATTACAATATGAATAGCTAGCTTGTTTATGGATAGATATTAATAATAGATACAATATATTGTAATAAATTATCTTGAAGACTGCTATACCCAGGCAAGGCAAAACTAAATCTCAAAGGCTAATCACATCTATACAATTGTTAAAAGTAACAGTGTGACTTGGACTGAATTTTTATACATTGTACAAAATTCTAAAAAGGGCCTTCAGTTCTATATAATTAATAGTATTTCTTCCAAACAATCAATTTGCCTAGGCTTAAACTCGTTCTTTAAATTCTTTAAACTATACTGAAGAAATCAATGTATTTATCCTTTTGAAATGCATGACTGTAATTTTCTCAACCAAATAAATTAAAAAGACCAATGGTGGTATTATGACTTACTTTTTCTTGAGCTTCCTTCCAGGCTTTGACAGGGTCAGATTCATAACCTCTCTGGACTAACATCTGAATTAAATCTCTCTTT